TGATCACCATCCCAGCTGCTCCAGATGTTGGAGGTGAAGTGCAAGGCTACCTGCGGCCCTCCCTTGCGCAGCTCCTCCCTCAAGTACTTCCTGCATGCCTCATACAGGGAGGGCACCACTGTCTTGCTAAAGGTGGTGCGTACAGGCACTTTGTGAGATGGGGCCAGAAGCGCTATGAGCCACCTGAACCCTGACCACTCAACTAGGGAGAAAGGGTGGCTATCCAGAGCAAGCATCTCCCCAACAGTCTGGGTGATCTTGCTCGCCTTTGCAACTCGCCTCCCTCTGTCTGCAGCTTTCCCCCACTGCACCCTGTATGAAAAAGTGCTGCCTACACTGTCAGCGGCACCTGCAGGCAGTCGATGCCCCCCCCCGCCATCGACACCGCTGGGTGGCAGTGATGGCGCCATCAACAGCAGCCCTGTCCCCTTCCAACGCATCCCTGACTATGAGGTGCAGCTGTTAACACTTTCCCTTTTGTTTTCTGTTTTCCTAAGACGGAAATGACTCGCAAAACTTGTAATAGAATCTAGTGTCCTATCCACAATCTGCCATCCCGTGGGACAGCACATGGGCTAACACCCATGGACTGATACCACACATCAACCTTACATGCCACATTTGATCCATGGACTGGCCCTGCACTACTCATTTGGCTCATGGAGACCAGAAGGTTGAGCACCTATGTTCTAAATATGTGGACCCATTTTGATTTCAGTTATCACAGTGTAAATCTGACATAATTTTAATACAATAATTGTTGCTGCTTGTGATTGACACTGTGATGGATGTGAGCAGAATTTAGGTAATAAACACCCATACCTATATATACAGTTACGAGAGATTATAGAAATAGCATCAGAAATGCTGATCTAAATTGGAGGGATAAAAGATTAGAGTACCCGAGAACTGGGCTTAAAGCATACAATTTAGGTCAAAATTAGTAGTCATTTTTGCATAACTGGGCCATGTTTATTTATACAATGACTTACACCAGGATAGGGGTCAAGCGGATCACAACTACAAATTTCTTCCTTTCTTTCTAGCCCTGAGCTCAAGCCACTACACCTTCTTGCCTTGCATTATTTAAGAACATCCATTGATAAAGTAAAAATTGTATCATTTGAACATACCAGTGAGTAAAGGTTTTTATTGCTACACTTCAATATATAATTTGATCCGTTACTTGCTTAGCAGAGTTCTTTTGCTTTCAAAGTCTATTGAAAACGTTGTTAAGATGCAGTAAGTTGTGATTTCATTCACTTGCATTTTAAATTGTGACTAATTACAGAAGGAAAGAAGGAAAAACTCAAAGTTAGTAAAATGCCCTTGAAGTAACACATCCTGTCAGCATTCATTTAAACATGTTCATGATAAAGTATCACCTAGCTGTAGATGAAAGATGCAATGACATTATTCAGAAAATTAATTTGTCCATGATCAGTAATAGACAGTAAGATATGACAGTACATGTATTGTATTTGGTCTAGCTGGACATACATATCACAGCCTTCACAGTCTTATAAGAAATCCCATCTAGAGAGATAAATGTCTCCTTTTTTTACACTATTTCCAGTTAAAATTGTACTTTCCCAGTTGACAGACTGACACCATGCATTAGTCATAAATGATCAATTCAGCTTAATTTGAGACTTCGCTGGCATGGCAAGAGCTACACAAAGTGTCATCAAAATTTAAGTAAAAGAGTGTCCCACTTGTTCAGCCAACCTACAATAGGACTCGCATGCTGAGGTCTGACACTCTGTCTGTTTGTTATTAGTCATTACAATTTTTCCTCATTGCTTTTTGAGATGTCTCTGATCATGCCTGAAATAATCATTTTTAAAATTTCTGTATTTTGTCTTGTTTTCTTCTTCACATCTGTGGGCATGTGTGCCACCATCTCTTTTGCAATATTACCTACCCAGGCTATAATCTGGTTTCAGACTGGCTTCTGTGACCAGGCCTGTATTTGGTGAGAGTCTGCCTCAGTTTTACACATTATACTGTAGTTAAGTAGTCTAGTGATTCCGAGCAAGAGTCTGAGCAGTTTAATGTGTTGCAGTCTTTGATTTGTTCTTTCCCATGACCAGCATATGGAAGATTTAGGAGATAGTCTACGATCTAGAATATTTTGGTCTTATCAGGGCTGTTTGTTCCATTGTTTAGGAGACTAGAAGTGTAGAGCCTGGAAAGTGATGATATATAAAAGGGATCATATTTTAATTTGAATATAGTTTTTAATCTTTTGTCCCTTTTTTAGTGGAGAAAACACACATCGTTTTCTTCCCTGTCCTATTTTATGGCACAAGAGCCACACTATATAAATGGTTTTGTCCGTAGTTAGTATACTATAACTTTTTCAAAATTCTTTTCTTCCAAATTTTATTATGGCATATACACACACACACACACTTTTTCTCTCTTCTTTTATGCAATGCTCTGTCATTCATTAGCAATACTGTGTCTCCACTGCTTTTGTGGATTTCTTAATTTCAGCAATGGAGTGTCTGTATACATATGCTTCTATGAACAGATGTCTGAATTCACTTCCTTTTAAGAGTTAGGTTTTATTAACACAGAAATTAATAACAACACAACATGAAAGATGATCCAAGCCTTTTTCCTATGCTCTCAGTGTATATCTGTCAGAAACACTGGGCCTCACTAAAAAGCACTGCATTACTGATACTAAAAATACAGTACTGTAACTTTTGGGCCACTTACAAGACAGCTAAACTGGATTTAAATCAGAGGTCAGCAACCTAAGGCCTGGGAAGCAGTTCTGGCTCACAGATGTGGCTCAGAGCAGATTTGGTTTTGGCAGCATTTGCCAGCAGGGTGCTCTCACTTCATCATGCTGCAGGCAGCACGCAGGCCTTTGGTTTAAGGAAAGCTCTGCCCATGCTACAGTGCACCTGGGGCTTCATCAGAGAGGTCTTTCCCTGCGTTGTGCTGCAGCTGGGAAAAGTGGTAGAAGTGGCCCAGTTCTAGTGCCCACCCTCCTGCAAGCGAAGCTGGGTTGTTCTTGGCCCCATTGGAAAATGTTGCTGACCTCTGATGTAAGTGTTAGAGAGTTGTTATTTACACATATTTAGCATTCTTATATGTGGCGAGCAGTAATTTCACAAAATGAGAGGTGTGGCAGGAAAAGTAACTAAAAGGAGCACACTAATTAAAGAAGCTCTCCATCTCCGATGCCCAGTTATATTCAAGACAATTTCTGATCAAACATGCAGTGATTTAAATTCAGATTAACTCCACTGTCTCCATTAATGCAACTGAGGTTACAATCTGGTGTATTATTTTATACAATATTTGCTTTCACCACTCTGTCACCCCGCATATTGTTAAGTCTTTTGTTTGCAGTTATCACCATATTTTATGCTTTATTTAGAATTCTTCCTCCTGGAAATAAAACCTTCCAAAATTAATTCTTTTTGAAGTATGGGATTTTTATATTAGTTCCATGGCTTTTTAAGGTTCCAATTTAGGATTTGGGGGATATTTTGGATTGATAATATTATACCATTCCTTTCACAGTTCAGGGTGCAAGTTAAACTTGTTCTGCATATACACTGAGTGCAAGATACCCCTATCATACACTTTATATTAATATATATGTTTAAGATTTGGGGCTTAGTTTGGCTCCATTGCATTCATAGCTGTTACACCTTTTTACTACATATGCAGTGTTGCCAACTGTCATGATTTCTGGCATTGCTCTTAAAGTCTACGCTTCAGGAATGTGAAAAACTTATCTCTTTCTTGTGTGTATATATATAAATAGTGTAGACTATAAAAACAATGCCAAAAATCATGAAAGCTGGCAATAGTGTATATGCTTTAGTTGTTTTATCTAAGGTAAATCTTCCTGTGTATCTTTATAATATAATCATTTGAGATGGAAGCCACCTCATGATATTACCAATGTCTTCGAAGCCCTGCCATAACAAAAATTAAACTTCTTATGTACTGAGTTGAAATAACATAACATCAGTTCCTAAGACATGAAATAACATAACGTGAAATAACATAGCATAACATCAGTTCCTAACATTTGTAAATTTGTATAATTTTGTGTAATCCATGCTTTGGTATTTCTTCCACAAAATGAAAAAAAATACTAAGCTCTGTATCTGTTGACGTTGTTCCAGGTTGAATTTTTAGAATTGAATTGTATTCATGCAAGAATTTTTACTTAAGGTAATTCTCTCTCCTTTTTGACCAGGATTCTTAGGATCATCTTGTGAAGAAAAACTTGACCCTTGTGCATCATCTCCCTGCAAGAACAATGGGACCTGCTATGCTGATAGGCTTACCTACTCCTGCAGTTGTAGTTCTGGATTCACAGGACCTACCTGTGCTCAGCTGATTGACTTCTGTGCTCTGAATCCTTGCGCACATGGCATTTGTCGCAGTGTTGGAACCAGTTATAAATGCCTCTGTATTCCTGGTTTGTACCAAGCAGTTCCACATTATGTAAATCTTTTAATACTTCTTACACAGCTTCCGATATATAGTTTAAAATTACTTCCTTTTTTCTTTTCAGTATATAATACACATTGAGCAGATGTTCTATCTCTTTAGAATAATGATAGGAATCTCCACATTCCATTTGGATAATCAAAAATTGCAGGGTAAGCACTGAAACACTGAGTTCCATATGGCTTGGTTTATATTTACAGCTGTATTATAAAACGATAGCTTGCAGGGTGAAGTTTTTAAAGATGAGGCATCAAATAATAAATGAAAAATGGAAATTTAAGGAATGGGAATGCTTGAAATCAACTAATTGGGAAAGGCTGCAAATATGAAGTAATAAATATAAACCTCTCACAGGAACTTAGGGAAAAGTATGATCTTTTCCTTAAGAGCCCAGTCCTGCACTCCATATTCACACAGGTTAACCCCACTTATTAATTGCAGTGGAACTGCTCATGTGAATACTGATAGCAGAATCAGATAGTAAAACTGTTGTGGAGTATATAGACAGAAAGTATGACAATTTGAGGTTACTTGGAGAAAAGGAGGTTTTTTCCTTTTGTCTATGTATGCTTTTATTATAGTGGTAGCTGTAAATCTAGGAGTTGCAGATGGGCATGAAACTATAGGGGTAGATGGGCTGTTGGTTTTGGCAGTTATACAGATATACCCATATTGCAGACTACACAGTCCAGCAATTATAACAATTTCGGAGTAGAATTCAAATACAGTGTTATTGTGAGTTAAACTTACAGGCAAAGAAAGATCTCTTCTCTTTATTCATTGCTTATTACTGTGCACATTAACAGATAGTAATGAGCCAGGCTTTATATTTGAAAATGTAAAGGGAGAAACAATATCAACAAAGAAAACAATGTTATTTTTGTTTTCAAAATGATTCTAACCCAGTTAGCAGTTTTTCACATTTCAACATAATGCCCTTTTTCTTGTGGATCAGGAAGTGGGTAGTGATAGCCTTGATTCTTTGCAGAGGAATCCTGCTAGCAGACATATGGACTTGTTACTTTGCTAGCTTACTATCTAAAGATGAATGTTTTAGGGATGATATGCTCAGCTAGAAATCAGAGAATCAATGAAAAGAGCCAGAGTGACATCTTATACTGAACTATTGTGCTGTTTTACCATATTGTCATCAATGTGTATTAGTGCAGTAGGATGACATGCAACATGGCCAAGCTGTGCTCTGCAGTTCTGTTCAGTATAACAGCTGTTCTTTGCTCTCCTTCATATGGCTTCTCAGTAACTAGGGCAGAAAGCCTGGTGCAACTGCCCCAGGCACCAACTTTGTGGGGAGCCAGGGGTTGTGGAAAAAAAACAATGCCATCAGCTGCATGACCTCTGCAGCAGCTGGGAGTACTCTGTGGCTTCTAGAAAAATTATGTGTGTGTGTAGGAGGTGGGGAGTTCTCCTGTATTCTTTTCCCTTACCTTCCTGGTTTGGCAGAGTAGGAAGGGATCCCATCAGCAATAGTCCATCTATTTAGCCTTCCTTATTCAGATTTGTTATATAGTCTGACAGTTCTAGGTACTTCAGTAATTGTAGCAAAAATACATCAAATGAAATTCTTACATGCCATGAGAGGCACTACAGGATAAACCTTCACTTTGAGTGTTACTGCTTTAGATGTTTTGATGCTTTTCCTCTGCTCCAAATAGTACATTAAAATCTCCAGAGTGAGAAACTTGAAGTCTGTTCTTAATATGCTCTACAGAATGATATTGTCAAGATGAGATTTAGGGCTGTAAAGCTGGTATTTTGGTTTGATTGGGCCTGTGACTGACTGTTCATTCTTGCAAGGAGAAGCATTGCTGACTGTTTCAGGTGAAATGACCATTTTCCCTGACAAGTGAATTCTCTTTTGATGCCTAGGCTGTAAGATTGGCCACTAATTTGAATGAGCTACAGTTACTTCCTAAAGGCAATGTAGATTTATTTGATATATTGATTCAGGGCAGATCTGTATACAGATGATCTGCAGAATATCAGTCTTTCGGAGTGGAACAGAGAATATTGAGTTGTCTCTGGTGAATTATTTCTCCAGTAGAATGAAACATTTGCTTTGAGAAATAGAAGATTTTGAATGGACCGTGTTACCGCAGTATTGCTAGAAAATATTTGTAGTAATCTTTATGACTGAGGGGCAAGGGTAGGGATTTGAACCGTCACAAAAGGTTTTGAATGACAACAAGTGACATAGTTGCTCATAAACCAACTGAAGATGGTTGAAATCTTGTAGTAGGAATTTGGTAATGTTGTGAAATTACATAATTTCCCTCAGAGGGAGGAACAAAATAAAGATAGGAAATGGCAGGCAAAGAAATGCCATGCTAGCATCACCCCAGGATTCACTTACTGCCCAGAGAAAATGAGTATAAACAAGTGGAATCAAAGCTTACAGCATTAGAACAGTAACATTTTTAAGGGATTATCTTGAATTCCACTGTTACTTGCTTTTAGGAAGGCCTTTCTGCCACAGATACTTAGGATATGTGAATGGTACCAAACTTTATGAGATCATTTGCTCCCATAATAGTTGTGTATATTTAGTGTTCAGTGTGAGCCCTGGACTAGCGATTGGCATTAATATTAGACAAATGTCCTCCTGTTTCCTAGCACCTAGTATGATTTCTACATTTCAAGAGGTAAAGATGGCAGATTTTCCAGTCTTCATCACCGAAGCATTTAATTGCTTTGCTTTTAGTTTGCATAATAGAGGAAGCCCATGAGAACAGGTTAATTTGGGTAACTTGTTGAAGAGTGACAAGAGCAATCATATTTAAATATAGCTAACATCCTATTTTATAAAGAAGGAGCAAAATACAAATCATATCAGGTTGCTAATTTTTTCTGTATTCAATAAAAATACCTTTTGATTACAGATAGGAGGACTTGCCAGGTGTTATTTTTCCAAATTCATTTGCTAGAACTACAAGCTTGATGAGATGGTAGTACTAACACTTTCATTCCTGGTATCTTTTTCTGTCAGCACAGCTACATGGGATGGGAGAAACTGGAAGGACAGGTGGAAAATATGCTTTTACATAGCCTGGCAGCCATCGCCAGATTGCAGATCCATGGTCAACAGTGTGTCTGTCTCTGGCTCTAATTGCCTCCTACATCTTCCTGTGTTTGGTCATGGTTGCAGGGGCTTCTTTGAGCAGGTCATACTTGCTTGAGAACTCATCTAGGACCTTGTAGAATCGCAGGTGCTCTGTGGTCCATGGTATCCCATTGGGCAGCATGTAAACTCACCACTGTCTCAGCAGGCGCCCTGTGAAATATCTGCCTAAACAGGCTGTTTTTGTCTCTGCCCCAGTCACCAGCTTGCAGATCTGGCTTATGTACCTTGCCCCGAGAAAGAGGAGGACATCTGGCATTCTACCAGTTGGTCTTGTGTAGTGCCTTTCTTGCCTCCTTCTCCCATCTGGATCTTCAGAAGATGCCCCCTCTGGATTTTGTGGGCAACATACTTTGGCAGGGGGAGTAACAGTGCTGTGTACAGGAGTACTGGCAGCAAAACCACCTTCATGAGTGACATGGACACCCCCCCGCCCTCCCCCATGAAGAGGTGGCCTGTGTGCCACAGTCCCAACCAATGTTTCACTTGGGCCTCCATCTTTTCCCATGCCTTCCAGTTACTCAGCTGAGGGTCAAAGTCCACCCCAAGAATCTTGACCCCCTCATGAGGGACAGAGACCCCAGGGACAACAAGTCCCTGAGTTTCCTCAACACCAGGCAAGTGAGCTTGGTCCCTGCCACTGCTTCGTAGATCTGTGTGCTTCTACACACTTTTGACTGACCACTTGTCTCTGCACAGATGCTGAGGTTGTCCATGTAGGCCAGGACCCTGGTCTCTTTCCCACTGCCACTGGCAATCAGGACTCCACTGATCCTGGGATCCTACGTGATCCACTGGGCAAGAGGTACCTTCATGCAGATGAAAAGGACTGGGGAGAGTGGGCAGCCCTATTGGACGCCTGACTGTCCCATATTGGTGCACTCAGGAACCCGTTGACCAGCACCTTGCAGCTCCCATTCCTGTACAGCATCCTTATCCAGCTGATGACCTTTGGAAGGATGCCTCAAAGAGGAACCAGTGGGATACTCGGTCATAGGCTTTCTCAAGGTCCAGGTTCAGCATGGCAACTTTCTGCTATCTCTCTGATTGAAGCTGGAGTGCATCTCATAGCTGCAGCAGGGCACTATGGATCTGGTGCCTCGGCACTGCACACCACTGATCATAATGGATGATGGACCTTAGGACAGATTGAAATCACTCAGCCAAGACTTTGGCCAGCATCTTATATTCAAAGCTGAGGAGGGTAATGGGCCTCCAGTTCTTCAAATCCCCTCTGGAATTGACAAGAAGGGTCTTGAGGCCCTGGTCCATCCCAGCCCCCTGCAGTTGCTCTTGCAAGACCTCCAGGTTGGGGCCCACCTGGTCTCAGAAGACCATGTAAAACTCCTGGCCAGGCATCTTACCATTCTTGAAGCAGCAGAGGATCTTGTTGATCTCCTTCAGCATCCACTGCTTCTCCAGCTTCTGCTGCTCATCTTCCTGAGGGTTCAGGTGAGCTCTTGCAGGCACTGCTGCATGGCCCCTGGGTCCTCTAGGCATACAGTGTAGAGCTCCCAGTAGAAGGCTGCCATCTCCAGCATCCCCTCCTTCAACTGGCACTCTACCCCTGCTCCATCTCTCAGGCTGGTTATGGACTCCTTCTTGGTCTTCAACCTGCTAAAGTTAAGCAGGCCACTCCTCTCTCTGTTCCATCCAGGGGGCCTGAACTTGGAAGATCTTTTTCCTGACCTGTTCACTGTACCAGGCTCTGATCTGGACCTTTACCTCCTGGGGGCAGACGGGTGTGAAATGCAACAGCAGCCAGTATAGTAGTGAGAAAGAGCAATAGGAAGAGCCAGACAAATTGATAGCATCATCCCTTCAATAGAATG